ATTTTATTCAAAAATAAAAACATCATCGTTTTCTCAAAATCACATAAAGTCATATTATAATATCGACTGAGATAAATAATAAAATGAAATATTAAAATCATGATMTATCTCGCTGCATTGCGCGAGTACGCTTCTAGTATAATTAAAATATAAAGATCATCGAGATTGGGTGAATAAATGAGTTAATCAATCTTCAATTTGAGCTCATAAAAGAGCATCGAGCTCGACCCCAAACTTTGAAAAAGAAAACTAATCTCGAGCCCGACTTTGAAAAGTTAATCGAACTCGAGTCAAACTTGAGTCTGGTATTATTATTCTGAGCCAAGCTCGAATAATCTGTTACTCAACTCGACTCGTTTACACCCCTCAACAACAATTTGAACTTTAGACAAATATTAAACAAGTAGAAAACGATTTAAAGTTTTGGATGAAATTTTCTGGTATTTTAATTGTTTCACTTGAAATTTTTTATTGTATCCAAACTGATCAAAATATAGATAGCAAATAAAATAGCATTTCTGATATTCAGACTGTTTATTCAACACAATAACAAAACACCTCACATGTTATCAATATCATACACATAACTTTATCAATACTGACAATTTGATAGAATATGAACCGATGCAATAAACAGAGGGCCGCTGATGTAAATTAATGATCAGATTCTTCCATCTGTATGTATGTTCACCGCTACCATCAAAAAGTCGATCATCTGTTCAATTTCTCCGTTGCTAACACCAACAATGGCGAAAACCATATCTTACATCACTGGATCTGAACTCCTATCTCTCAAAGAACGTGCTAATATAGCCATCGTTGACGTCAGGTAACTTGATTTCCAATCCAGCGATCATCTGACCGTCTATTGGTATCAAACACTTGATATGAAGTAGGTTAATGGATAATTGATTTATTTTTCAGGGACGATGAGAGGAGTTACGACGGGCATATGGCTGGTTCACTCCACTTCGCCAGCGATACATTTCAGGACAGGATCCCTAATCTCGTTCAAGCCGCTAAGGGGAAAGATACCCTAGTCTTTCACTGTGCCCTCAGTCAGGCATGTTATATATCTACTGTTTCTTTTTCATGATTTGATGCTTTTACTCTTTATGTTCATTTGCAAGGTTTGTTTGTTATTGTTCCCTTGATTTAGTGATTTGATTAAGGTTTCCTGCAAATTTTCTACTTATGATCATGTACAAAGTGAATTGGTTGCAGACATGCAGATTGTTTTGTAATTTGACATAGAATATTGAATTCATTATAGTTGGTTAATTATACTTCGTGGTTGATGATCCCCAATTATAGAGTTTCTGACATCCAGTTTTACACAAAAGAACCTTCTTCCATGTTACAAACTAATCAAACAACCCAATTTCAGACCTCACTGATGCTGTACTTGTTTATGCTTCAGAAATCTCATTGTGTTTCAAGATCTCAAGCACTTGATTGAAAATCTCTCATCTCTTCATCTGCATCATCAGCATTTAAGCATGACCTTAGTTCTGTTGGGTTCTGTACATAGAAATGAATTAGAATCGTATTCATTTCACTTCTTATTTTGCCCGTGGTAACTGGCACCTTTGGCCAACTAGGCAACGGGAAAATTTCAAGCCTTTTGACCAACAGGTGTGGCCCTTAAAAGAACTGATAACACCTACCAAGAATCCAATTGAGAACCTCATGCCATATTGGATACAAGGCCCCGAGGGTTTGGCTTGTACCGTTCTCAAATTTTATTGGCTTAGCTTGTACTTGTCATCTACATGCTGGTCTTGGTCCAGACCCCTTTGTAATACAATATAACAATTTTTTTTCTTTTAGTTTGCTAGAACCTCACCGGGTGAAAAAGAAAATAATGAATAAAAACCCCATGCTTCAAGGAGAAGCACTTTAGCAGTCACCAAAAACAAGCCAAGTTTTCTTCATCATGCCTCTCTATCACACATGCATGCAAACATATGTCCTATAACCTATTCTCGTTCATGGGCTATATGGAATTTTGGGGATGAATATTGTTGCAGCTTCATTAGAAAACCATCTACTTTGTGTTACAAAAAAATTGAAAACTATTTTAGTTTGTCCCTTGCTTGATTGCTTCACGGAAACAACAGCTCTATTCTGTGGGGAAGCGATGAGGTCTGCTAACTTTTAACCCCCAGACTATGCTTGCAAGTGGGACATACCGGGTGTGTTTGATTTGGTGTGGTTTTTCTAGTTTGTCCTTGCAATGTGATTCGCTTTTCGGTAATTGTTGTCGTGCACGTGCTCTCTATTACTCAACTACTCTTGTCCTGGTTTTCACTCAACAAGAAAGTTGAAGGCCAAAGCCTCGTCCAAAGATAATCCTTCATTAACACGGAGCCTAGTGGTTTCCTTTCCTGTGTTATTTCTAGGAGTTGGTTTTGACTTCGTTCATAGTACAATAGTCTGATTTCACTTATCTTGGATCATAGTTCAACCACTGATGACTGTCTTCAAGGAGACCATTTGTCTGACCAGAACCAAGTAGAACAGAAGAGGAAAACTGGGCCTTTGCGTATACAATGTCAGTATATAATACAGCATCTGTTTTGGGTTCTTTTATCATAGCAGTGGTTCTTCTATCTTTCAAGATTAACCAAAATACCAATTGGATTTGATGTTGCTGATATAGCAACAACAAAGATTGATTTTCTTTACCAACTTTTCTCTTAACATCTTAATTATGTTCCAGGTTCGTGGGCCAAAATGTGCACGCAGATTTGCAGACTATCTTGCGGAAGCAAAGGAGAGTGCAGGAATTAAGAATATAATGGTGCTGGAACGTGGTTATAATGGTTGGGAAGCATCCGGTAAACCTGTTTGTCGCTGCAGTGGGACTACCTGCAAAGGTGGATGCTGAATCCAGAGGCTTTCTTGTAAAGTTGGAAGGATTATATATCATCTGCTGGTCTGCAACCAGTCTGTATGAGGTTAGTTGCTCGATTGAACTAGATGCTTATTCCTTCTGTATAATCCTACACTTTGAATAATTCTTATAATCCATTTCATTGGAAACAAATAATGATATGCATTGCAAGTTATCATATTCTGACTTTCAACCAACTGAATTTTTTTTTATGTCCATAGTTGGCCTTTTGTATTGTTGAATTCTCTTGAAAAGTGAGTTTATGCATATGGTGGTTCTGTTAGGGGAGGAACATGATCATCCTAATAACCCAGGGGGTAAAAAGGGTATAATAAAAATTTAGGGGCAAAAATTGACATTATGAAAACTCAAGGAATGAAATTTACGCAAAATTGAAAAAGGAAAAATATTGGCTAGTTTTGGTTAATAATTAATAAAAATAAAAGTATTATAAAAAGCATTACAAAAACTAGTTTTTTGTTTAAACGTTTAAAATGGGCCCTACCAAATATTGTGTAAGAGTTGGGTTGGGCCCCATTAAGATTCGGGTTGGACTACTATTAGTTGCCAACTTGCCATGAAAGCGATGTTTCGTGCTTATATCTTTATTATTTTTTGCTTCCAAATTCAATTTTTTTTATCTTTTTAGTTTTATTAAAAAAAAAAAAGCCATCTAATTATTCCTACCATCAAATGTAATTTACTTAATTAAATATGATCTAGTTAAAGTGTGTCCAAACAGTTAAAAACATACATAATAGTTTAAATATCATAAGTTTGAAATTCGGCACCTTCAACAGATTTTTTTAAAATAAATAAATTGATCCTTTAAAGTAAATAAAAAAAGAAATTTTACAGATTGTAGACTATTTTAAGGGTGCTTGGAATTGTTTATTTGAAACAACTTATGCTTTTCTACAAAAGTTTTTTATCAACTTATTATAAGTTAAAATTGTTTAACTTCTTTAAAAACTTTTTATTACCGGTTTGATATTGGTATAATTTGTTTATCCAAAAATTAAGAAAATGAAATTTTGGAGATTTTAACACATTTGTTTGCTCCAAGTGATTCCATAAAATATAGAAATTATGGTAAAGAAGTTGAAAAAACTTTAAGAGGTTGTTTGTTTACCTCTTAATAGTTTTATTAATAGGCAGTCTTCGAATCGTTAAGAGGTGAATTTTGTTTGACAAAAAAAAAAAATTGTCTCTTAATGTTTCTAAATTTTTTTGAATGGTTTTGTATCATGGGTCTCCTTTAAACATTCAGCGCATTAATTTTATTGTAAACAATTACCAAACAATTATATTTCATTTTGCACTATATCATGAGAGACTCTTAATCATTCAGCAACTGACAAACAACCCATAAATTTGAGCTCTTTATAATGATTATTAAATAAGAGAAAAAATGTTTTTTATTGTTTCCACGAATGAAGTTTATCGTATTATCATCCTATATAATAGTAATTTGAAATCCTTGTTACGATATTGAACTCATTAAATATTTTAGAAAAATATTCAGTGTTGTAAATCTTCAAAATAGAAAACACGTTAAAGTTGAATATACAGCAACAACACAAATTTCTTCTCTACGAATAATATATTTCGAGCATTTAAAGCTTTTTTTCCTTAATTCTAAGGATTGACCCGTGAAATAACCAAACAACCCCTTAAACTCATATCTCAATGAGTTTATAAGAGACATTGTGCTAAATTTCAATAGCCATGACGCAAAACATATTTTCAGTTATTTATTTTAAAACTTAGATGATAACTGATTAAAAAAATCCGTCACTGAATTGTAGTCCACCAGTTCTATTATAATTTATTTATTCGTTAAAAAATTGCATCGATGGTCCCTATTGCATATTTCATTATTTTAGTTTCACTTGATCGATATGCATAAATAAATTTATATCAAAATTATGATTCATGATCGCTCAGGGATCAATATATATATATATATATATATATATATATATATACTAGAAGCGTAATCGCGCAATACAGCGAGATACATCGTGATTTTAATATTTTATTTTATTCTTTATCTCATTCGATGTTATAATATGGCTTTATGTGATTTTGAGAAAGCGAAAATGTTTTTTATTTTTGAATAAAATATATGTTTGAAGATATCATAAAAATTTGACAAAAATATATCGATATTAGTATCAAATTAACTATTTAAAATT